ATGGGGGGTTTCCATCCTCGGATAACTGTAGTAATATCTAGACAACTTCGCACCTGTTGGCAACAATTATGGTTTCACTTGCAGACTCCCTCTTTGACTTTTTATCAATAATTGTCATATTACACCAACTGATTATTTTTCCCCTTAACGCTCCCCATTACCCTTGTTAACTGTGCCTCCTCTTACATACTCTTAACCCTCACTGGTCTCTAATCTTCGCATAGTTTGTCTTTAGTATATCCCACCCATCAGCGCTGTATGGCCCTTATGGGTTTAGCACTTAGCTTTGGTTGTAATGATTATAATAATAATAATCTGTAGTATAAGTATGTTTGCACTTTTTTATCTTGGACATTAAGATCTCATTTTCGTCTCATATGACATTCCTCCACTTTTTTTTGCGAGGTAAATCCTTTATGCTGCACCAAGACTGAAATTTTCAAATGCATCACCTTCATCAGTGAGATAAAACCATATTTTTCCCGTTGATATCAGTGTCGAGAATTGTTGTTTAGGTTCAACAGGCAAACTGCCCACATTAATAAAGATTTAAATCATCTAGAACGATCTCTGCCTGACCGCAATGTGGAAAATTTTGATAATTTTCCAGTAATTTGGATGTAGGAATTAATGTGGATAATAATGTTTATATAAATTTGTGTAGATGTATATTTTTAATTTGCTTTTAAAAAGTGTCTGTTCACATGAGAACCAATATTTTCTATAATTTCCTTATATATTGTAAGAAGTTAAGTAAGGGAAAAAATATGCTGGAAAAAATTAATTTTCTGATGAAGAAAATGTACTACACACCTAAAAATATCACTGGATATAATTATATATATGTGTATATTATAATAGTTTGCGGAGGGAGGTAGCCAAAGATGATGTAATGTGTACATTGGCAAATTCAATGGTGTAAATAATTGTATTTAATCAAACCTGATAGAAAGGGTATCGGCATAAATTTAGTACTAAGAAATAAGTTAATGAATATTGCAAATCATCGGAATGATGCTGATGAGGATAAAATGAGATGCTGTGTTATCTGGATGAAGAATGGTATGGCATCCATTGTAAAATGTTATGTTCACTTCTCAGTGTATATTGAATCTCACACCACAGTTAAGGTATCTAGGTATTGGCCAGTCATGGCTTACCAGCCTGCTAGGGAGGTGTTAGGATATATAATCAAGACCATAATTTAAGTGTCCTTCATAATTTTCTAATTTATTTGATGTAAATAATCACTCAGACAAATTACTCATTTCCAGTAATCAATAAAAATTCAAGAAATATATATTCACATAAATTTAAGGTCCAGACGTGAGTTCGGGAGCTGAGACGGTGGCACTGAAGGAGTCAATTGGTGACCCATTATTCCCAAAGTTCTACATGTCTCCAAGATACATCAATATCAGTAAGTGTTTAAGATGTACCCGAGTTCTCCTTACTTAAGTTAGTGGAATGTTAATTTAGGACTGTACCTATGAAATTCATTCACAATTTTTCACAAAGTCATTGATCCTTCGAACCAGAGACGTTATGGATATTTAGCACAAAGCAGAATGAACCAAGTAACTATTGTTTTTAAAAACTCCAGAGCACAATTATAAAAGATTGCAAAAATTTACAGTCAAATTGGAAAACGCTCTCAAAACTTAAGTAACTGATATGATCTGGACGAATCACACTGGATATTGAGTGATGTGCAAAATAAATTGACTAGTTATGTGATATGTACCATAAAGGATATTTCTCTTTGCAGGATATAAGAGTAGGCATTTAAGTATTAATTGTCCAGCTACAGACAAGCAGGAGTAAACTGGAGAAAGAAAGATGCTCCCTCTACAGAAGACGACGATGAGTCACTGAGCTCCTCAGGAGTGCTAGAATATCTGATACACGAAAGGAGGTGCTGACCAGGGAAGTGGAAACTATCGAACTTAAGTTAAATACTCTTACAGGAACCAGGAGAGATAGGAGGAGCTTAAAGTTATTAGTGAAATTGAAAGAAATTCAAAATATTTCTTTTCATATTCCAAAAAACAAGGCAAATACCACATCTAGTATCGGGCCCGTACTCAGACAGGATGGGACTTACACAGATGACAACAAGGAAATGAGTGAAATATTGAAATCCCAGTACGACTCTGTGTTTAGTGAACCACTAATCAGTTTGAGGATCGACGACCCAAATGATTTCTTCATGAATGAGCCTCAAAACTCCATAAATGTATGCCAGATTTCCGACATTACCCTAACTCCGATAGATTTCGAAAAAGCCATTGATAACATGCCCATGCACTCAGCCCCGGGCCCAGACTCGTGGAACTCTGTATTCATTAAGAACTGCAAGAAACCCCTCTCGCGTGCCCTAAGTACACTATGGAGGAGGAGCTTGGACATGGGTTAAATTCCACAGTCGCTTAACACAACGGATATAGCCCCACTCCATAAAGGTGGCAGCAAAGCATTAGCTAAGAACTATTGACCAATAGCTCTGACGTCCCACATCATAAAAATCTTTGAAAGAGTGCTAAGAAGCAGGATTGCAAATCACCTGGATTCCCAAGATCTGCACAATCCAGAGCAACATGGGTTCAGGGCAGGTCGCTCCTGCATCTCACGACTACTGGATCACTATGATATGGCCTTGGATGCACTGGAAGAAAATCAGAATGCAGATGTAATATACACAGACTTTGCAAAAGCATCTGACAAATGCGATCATGGCGTAATAGCCCATAAAATACGTGCTAAAGGAATAACTGGGAAAGTGGGGAGATGGATCTTCAACTTCCTAACAAATCGAACACAAAGAGTAGTGGTCAACAGAGTTAAATCGGAGTCTGCCATAGTGAAGAGCTCTGTTCCACAAGGCACAGTGCTCGCCCCCATCTTATTCCTCATCCTCATATCAGACATAGAGATATACATCACAGCACCGTATCATCCTTTGCGGGTGATACTAGGATCAGCATAAGGCTGTCATCTGCTAAGGACGCGGTTAACCTCCAAGAAGATATAAACAAAGTTTTCCAGTGGGCAACGGTAAATAATATGATCAATGAGGACAAATTCCAACTACTCCGTTATGGAAAACTTGAGGAGATAACTAGAACAGAGTATACTACAGACTCTGGCCATACAATAGAGCGGAAAAATAATGTAAGGGACCTGGGAGTAGTAATGTCTGAGGATCTCACTTTCAAGGATCACAACAGTGACACGATCGCAAGTGCAAAGAAAATGATAGGATGGATAATGAGAACGTTCAAAACGAGAGGTGCCAAGCCAATGATGATCCTTTTTAAATCGCTTGTTCTCTCTAGGCTGGAATACTGCTGTACACTAACATCTCCATTCAAAGCAGGTGAAATTGCAGATCTAGTGTACAGAGAGCCTTTACTGCACCTATAAGTTCTGTCAAGCACCTTAACTACTGGGAACGCTTGAAAGCACTTGACTTGTACTCGTTGGAACGCAGGAGGGAGAGATATATCATAATCTACACTTGGAAAATCCTAGAAGGAATGGTCCCAAATCTGCACACAGAAATCACTCCCTACGAAAGTAAAAGACTGGGCAGGCGATGCAAAATACCCCCAATTAAAAGTAGGGGCTCCATTGGTACACTAAGGGAAAACACCATAAGTGTCCGGGGCCCAAGACTGTTCAACAGCCTCCCATCAAGCATTAGGGGAATTGCCAATAAGTCCCTGGCTGCCTTCAAGAGAGAGCTGGACGGATACATAAAGTCAATGCCGGATGAGCCGGGCTGTGGCTCGTACGTTGGACTGCGTGGGGCCAGCAGTAACAGCCTGGTTGATCAGACCCTGATCCACCGGGAGGACTGGTCATGGACCGAGCCGCGGGGGCGTTGATCCCCGGAATAACCTCCAGGTAACCTCCAGGTAAGCCAACCCAATAATTATAATAATATAACAAATAATTACTCTGATATATCTGTTAAGCTTCACAAAGGGAAGAAATGCACAAATAATTATAATAATTCAACCCATAATAAAAATAATATTGAACTTACAAACGGGAGGAACCGAGAATCAATTTAGGAATAAGTACTTTAAATTTGGGCCTGCCCCCTTAAATTGGAGCACCTGAAGCAAAAAGGATTGTCCTTTTTGCCAGGTCTCATTCCAGAAATGTAACCTTCCATTTCTGGAATGTTAGCGCTCATAAACAGGAAAAATTAACCAGTGTTTCAGATTCTTGGCAATCCAATGTCCAAGACTGCTATACTACAATTGAAACTTGTTGTCCTTATCAGGAGAAACTAACAAATTATTGCAAGGTGCTCATAAAAATAATAATAGCCCCTGGCCACAGCTGTTACTAATAACAGCAGCAATGAAGGTAATTACTTGGTCTACTCCACAACTCATCACTCCTACTACACAATGACGACACCCTCATGCCCAGCCTTTTCCTATAGAAACCCTCCTTACCCCATCCCTTGTTTTACTTGGACGACCCCTGCCCCACCTTCACTTGGACGACCCCTGCCCCACCTTCACTTGGACGACCCCTGCCCCACCTTCACTTGGACGACCCCTGCCCCACCTTCGCTCCAGTACAGGTATATACATCCTCCAACTCATAGTAATATGTTCCGTCCTCTCAAAATGTCCAAACCGCTGAACTGTCCTTCCTCATCCCTCTGAATGACTTTTTTGATAACCCAGAATCTTCTAATCAACGAAATTTTAAATCTCTGCATAATATTCACAACAAACATTGCCCTTATTATTATTATTTTATTAATTATTATTATGTTTATCATTGTAATTATTATTATAGTTATTATTATTATTAATATTGTAATTATTATTATTATTTGCTATTATTATAATTAATATTGTAATTATTATTGCTATTATTATTATTATTAAAATTATTAGTAGTGATATAATTATTATTATATAACAATACAATTAATAATAATAAAAATAATATTAGGAATAAGAATATGAATTAAAATAGTTATTATTTTTTTATTATTAACAACAGTTTTACAAGTAAAAGCTACAAACCTGAATGAGTTATTGTGCCCAACATGGTATATGGGTTGGTTACATAACTTGGTAAAGAATGGAGGGAGAATGTTAGTGTGAAAGAGAAAGTCACAATATAATGGAATCAGAAGTAATGATATATTGGAACCTCGACTTTTGTAAGCAAAATGGAGGAAAAAAGTTGAAAGCAAAATGGAGGCAATAGTCAGAATGGAGCAAGTTTCTAAAAGACAGTGTTTAACCATGAAGATGAATAGAAAACTATCACGGTTAATCAAATCATTACGTAAACATTTATGTTCTGCTGTAGGTGTCATAGTATTTTTACAGTCTGTAATTAGTTATGAAGCTTGATATCAACACCTCAAAGGTGAAGAAAATCTTGGGAAATATCAAGATAGCAAAGATGTTAAATATTAAACTTCATTACATATAAAATATTCCAGTTTATGTTGGTTGTCCGTTTTGCTAAATAACATCATCACTAACAAAGGCAGTATTTTTGTAATGTTTTAAAACTATATACTGGTACTGTTATTATTAAAGTCTTGGTTCATGTGGTTCCTTGTTTCTGGGTGTTCTTATGCTCATCATTTTGTCCTGGGGAAGAGTTTGACGAAGTTGCCATTAACAGGTCTAAGAATGACTTGGGAGACAAGCTTGAGTTGGTCTCTGGGGACGACGCTCTCCACCCTGAATCTCCTGAAGATGCTGCTCACTAGGATTTTTAACTCCAACATTGCGAACTTTTGACCTGGTGAGATGAGAAAGTAATGGAACAAAGATGCACAGGATATGGAGGAATATTATTTACAATCAGCAGTAACCTGTACATCATTAGATCTTTCACCCGATGAAAAAAAAACGGCAATCAATATTTACTGACATGAACACCAATATGTTTATTAAATAAAAATTCGCATGAGTGCATGTACATAGTAGTATGAATACAAGGATTCGAACCCATGTTGCACTCGCCTGCCTCATGGTGAGCAAGAACCACATGACGCTTTAAACCACAGGACCACCCAATCCTACAAGAATGGCGCAGCCAGCAGAGAGCTGTTTTGCCGCCGTCCGAGGATATATGGAGGTGTGGGAGCTTCTAAGCTAATTTCATTCTCATCCCAGTTTGGTGTACTAGCCTCACCAGCAGTATATGTACATATATGCTGCTCGTGAGGCTAGTACACCAAACTGGGATGAGAATGAAATTAGCTTAGAAGCTCCAACACACACACACACACACACACACACACACACACACACACACACAACACACACAACACACACACACACACACACACACACACACACACACACACATATATATATACATATATATATACATACATTTTTGTTTCTTATTTTTTTCAGCAAGTCGGCCGTCTCCTACCGAGGCAGGGTGACCCAAAGAGAAAGAAAATCGCCAAAAGGAAAATACTTTCATCATCATTCAACACTTTCACCACACTCACACATAATCACTGTTTTTGCAGAGGTGCCCAGAATGCAACAGTTTAGAAGTATATACGTATAAAGATACACAATGTATCTCTCCAAACTGCCAATATCCCAAACCCCTCCTTTAGAGTGCAGACATTGTACTTCCCATTTCCAGGACTCAAGTCCGGTTATATAAAATAATCGGTTTCCCTGAATCCCTTCACTAAATATTACCCTGCTCACACTCCAACAGATCGTCAGGTCCCAAATACCATTTGTCTCTATTCACTCCTATCTAACACGCTTACGCATGTTACGCCCACAACACCCCCTTTACCCCCTCCCTCCATATATATATATATATATATTTTATATATATATATAATATTATATATATATATATATATATATATATATATATATATATATATATATATATTGTCGTGCCGAATAGGCAGAACTTGCGATCTTGGCTTAAATAGCAACGCTCATCTTGCCATATAGGACAAGTGAAAATTTGTGTATGCAATAATTTCGCAAAAATCATTCTGAAGCTAATGAAAAAAATATATTTGATTGTGTTTCTTTAGTACTAAATTATTGTAAACGTATTTAAAATATATTTAGTTGGGTTAGGCTAAAATAAATTGTTCTTGTTATAATAAGGTTAGGTAAGTTTTCTAAGATTCTTTTGGTGTAAAATGAAAATTTTTTTCATTAACATTAATGAAAAAAATATATCTTTAAACGTATAAGAGAAAATTTTAGAAAGGACTTAATTTTAAATGAGTTCTTGCTAATTGACCAGTTTTACATATTCGGCACGACATATATATATATATATATATATATATATATATATATATATATATATATATATATATATATATATATATATATATATATATATATATATATATATATAATATAGTTACATAATACAGTACAAAAGATTAAAGAGATACATTGTTGATACAATGATGGCATACAGTACACGAGGTGTGAGAGATACATGACTAGTACATATTGTTACGTGTTTGTCACTGATTATAATAATAAAATCCTTCAAAGATCACTGGCTGAGTGGTGAAGGTGACGCGTATGTTGTATTGTCTCATGAAGCGGTACAGCATTCGTAGGTCAAATCCTGGCTTGCCACAGTTTGATAAATGAGTTAAAATCACTAGTTTTGTGATTTCATTGTTATATAGACTGTTTATTGAGGCGGGTATTAAAACAGGAGGAGGCTGAAATTAATCCTTGAGATATCACTGCCATATATGCAATAAGATCACAGTAAACAGGCGATATCACAATATTCAAAGCAACCACTGTGAAGGAATAGCGAAATTCCAAGCGCTTTCGTGACTTCTCACATTATCAAGGAAATATTGTGAGGTCCTGTGGATTAAGGCGTCATGAGTTTTCGCCACCATGAGGCAGGCCAAAGCAGCATGGCTAGTCGCAGTGTTCTTATTGATCAATACCACTTGTTCGTTGGTGCAAATATATTATATATATATATATATATATATATATATATATATATATTTTATATATATATATATATATATATATATATATTATATATAATATATTTTATATAAAAATTATATAAAATATATATATATATAATTATATATAATATATATATAAAAATTATATATATCTATTAATATATATATATATAAATATATATATATATATTATATATGATATATATATATATATAATATATATATATATAAATATATATATATATATATATATTATATATAAATATATATATATATATATATTATATATATATATAT